TCGGGAACCCGACAAATTATTTACGAAATCCGAACACCCATTCCGATACGAGTTCAACCATACCAAAATTATCAAATTCCGATGATGGATCACCCTTCAAATCTTAAATTAAAGTCTAGAGAATTTCTATCATTTTCAACCCAATTCACTAATTTAGTGATAAAAACAATACTAGATTCATGTAATTTAACCAAAATCAAGTTAGGAATTCTTATCCCAATGTTTTCCTTGAAAAACTCTCGAAATATCGCCTCACCCGAGCTTCCTTGGTCCAAAAATGGAAGAATGAGACAAATTTGGACTTTATTCTGTTGCCCAGGAATTTGTTCTTCGCGTTCGCGACCCTTCCCTCGCGTTCACGATGAACAAATTCACCAACAACCATTTTCAAACTCTTCTAAGACATCCTCTAGTATAATGATCCTACCTTTTTGTATAAAACTCCAAATGACAAATGGTTTAACTTTCTGGAAACTACACTCAAAGGGATATAACTTTTATTTGTTGCTCATCTCCTCATTCCTTATAGATTGCGAGATATAACCTTCCAAAGTCAGCCCTATGTAACAGAGATTTTCAAACTCTTCCTAGATAGCCTGCAGTGTATCCACCATAACCTTTGGTACACAACTCCAAATGACAAATGGCTTACCTTTCTGAAAACTAGATACAAAGAGCTACAACTTTTATTTTTTGATCATCTCCAAAATCCTTATAGATTGCGAGATATGAGCCTCCACAGTCAGACTATTGCGACCGATATTTCCTTCTTCGCGAACGCGAGAGTCCCTTCGCGAATGAGAAGAACAAAATCCCAGAAGCCAAATCCTTCTTCGCGAACGCGAGAGGCTCCTCGCGAACGCGAAGGACAACACCAGATATCAGAAAATCAGCATCCAAAGTAGCCCAAAATGATCCGAAATACACCCGAGGCTCTCGGGACCTCAACCAAACATACCAACGCGTCCCATAACATCATACGACCTTAGTCGAACCATCAAATCACCTTCAACAACACCAAAAACAGGAATTACAAACAGATTCAAGCTTAATGAACTGAGAAATTTTTGACTTCTACAAACGACGTCGAAACCTCCCAAACCACGTCTGAATGACCTCAAATTTTGAATACAAGTCAGAAATGGCACAACGAAGCTATTCCAATTTCTAGAATCGGATTTCGACCCCGATAACAAAAAGTCAACCTCACGGTCAAACTTTCCAAAAATTCATCTTTTGCCATTTCAAACCTAATTCCACTACATACCTCCAAATAATTTTTCGGACACGCTCCTAAGTCCATAATCGCCATACGGAGCTATTGACATCATCAAAATTCCATTCCGGAGCAGTTTGCTCAAAAGTCAACTCTCCGGTTCACTCTTTACATTTAAACTTCTAAATAAGGATTGTTCTTTTAATTTAATTCTGAATTTTCAGTAATTCAACTCGACCACACCCGCGAGTCATAATACATATTGTGNTTATCCTCTCTATCGGCTAGCTACACCAGTAACATAGCTAAATATAATGTCGCTTAAAATCACAACAGAGAATTTGGCAGATGGTGACCCTATTAGCAATATTATATAGTATAATACGATATAAGATTGTATATCTTTTAGCTATGTTACTGGTGTAGCTAGCCGATAGAGAGGATAATATATCTAAGAGTGGGAAATGAGTTAAAACTGTAATATGAGTTGAGCTAAAACTTGATCTTCCATCATCCCATATTTATACTAGCTAAAAAGTACCATACTTTGGTCATTTCATGTTACTACTAAAAAGTATATATATATATATATAT